CTTGACTTGAAAAACAATTCTAAGATCGTATAGCAAAAGCATACTGTATAATCACTTGACATCATGGATCATGTATTGTTTGGTGTTTTTGTAGCATTACTCTAGCTACAACTCTATTTCATTTGTACTCAGACCTAACCAATTGTAATCTTTCTGCATTGAGAGATGGGAGTATGAGAGTTTGAGGTCAAGGCACAATTTTGATGTCTAACATTAGCGAAAGTCATCAACAGAAGGTTAACATTTGTTTAGTATTCCATACACTATATTATTTCCAAAGAGCAGTGACATGGCCGAGACCTCAAACTGAGCACACTGTGATCTCCTGGACCTTTAATCCCTCAGCTTCAGAGCATCAATACGGAGGAGATTAATTTGCCTCTCAGGTTGGGTAAATTCATTACCAAAGAAGCTCCCAATTCAGTTTAGTTTTCGATTGCAATCAATTATGATTCAGAGTTTGGTTCGACAGTGTTGAAGGTGCTGCTTCTGAAAATATCCGACATGGCTGGTGGGTTAAAGGTGCCAGATTAACTTGCAGGCATGGGATTTACTCATTTTGAACACCACACCACACCATAAAGTGGAAGGATCTGATATCCCCTGTGGCAGTCCCATTTTGAACAACTTCTCATTAATGTGATTGCTCCACCCATTCGTCCATCCATCCATCCATCCATCCATCCACCCGTCCATCCATCCATCCATCCAATCACTCCATCCATCCATCTATCCTATGGATTTCCTCTTTGTATTTGGGCAGAAAAGTTAATTAATTGGTTTACTGTTTATGTTAGTAGTAGGTGTAACGCCTATTATTTTTGCTCAAAGCCTGTGTGCATGTTTTAAATAACCAGTTCCTAAAGTTCCTTTACAAACTTATTGGTATATCAGGCAGGTGGATTTAGTGTTATGGCAAATTGGTGTGTAGTTACACTTTATTTTACCAGGTTTTATCTGAAGCAGAATTAAATCCAGGCATGCAGGGTCACGATCAAAGGCTGTTCTATCTTCTGACTCTGAGCCAACTACCAACTCCAGAGACATGATCAGTAACGGCTGGTTTAGTGTTACATTTAGAATAAAGTCCAGTATACAGATTTTCACTGGAGTTATGTTTCCACAAGGAGCTGCTCTCATGTGATTCAGGCCATAACCAAAGCTATATTTGGTTGCACGTTCATTATGATGATGAACGATCCAGCAGCAAAGATCACTTCAAAATAAATAAATAAATAAATAAATAAATAAATAAACAACATTCAGGTACCTTGTGTGGGTGGGATGAATCAGATCATTCTTGTACATCTAAAAACCAGCTTTTAAGAGCCATTGTCTCATTCAAGCCAGCTTCCAATGGAGCATTAAAGCTCTTGAAATGAAGCTGGATCAAAAGACACAAAAAGACAAGAGCTGGGCTTTCTGCTCTGTGGTGTAATATCAGCAAGTATTTCAGGTCGTGATGGAAATGGGGATATTAAGATCTTTACACGGAAAATTACTCATCTGCATCAATGCTGGAGCTGGACAAAGATCACAAATACATCAGAATATATAGATAATTATCCCACAATGTGATGCAATAAATATGGGGTCAAATATGTATAGTGATGCATTAATATACAGAAAACAAAAGACAGAATGTGATCCCATTCACCAAGCGTTTGAATGCAAAACCTTTTTAAAAGAAATGGAACAACAAACGATATTGGATATGGCATTGATCCACCACTGGACATAACCGCTGGCTCAGCAGTTTAAAAAATTGTTTTCAAATCCATTCAAATCCATTAGGACGCTTACCTCTCAAATATTTGACACAAATGTAAGACAATTTGGATAAAAGCTGTCCACTAACCTATACACTAAACTAAATGTAAATATAAATGTTACAGTACTTACACACTAAAATGATAAGCAGCCAAGGCTAAAATGTAGCGAAGTTAAGGTACTTGCAAAAAAATCAATTGCAACTGAGAAGAAGTTAAAAATACTAAAATGTAAATCGCAGGAGGATGTTAAATTACTAGGTTACACAGCACAGACAGTTTGCATTGAACAACGCCCACAAAACTCCATACAAGGAAATGCAAAAAAATAAGTATTTCTACAAGTTGAAGTGAAAGTTATTATATAAAAAAAAAGTAATATATATATATATATATATATGTATATATATATATATATATATATAATATATATATATATACAGTGCAATCGTTTTAAGCACCCTATTTGTTTGTACTTTGTACTTTTTTTAGATTCCCAAACATTAGTTTTCTAGCAGAAAATTAAATGGTAAGGAAAAACGTTGCACGTCATTAAAGAAAGCAGTATATTAAGTAACACCGATTTTCAGACAAAAAACCCCCAAAAAAACGCACAATTAAGGGTTTCGCTGCAAACATAAGAAGCGAGTGCAACAGTCAACTTCTCCAGAAGAACCGTGGTAAGTTCTGCAAGATGCTCGATTAAAACTTACCAGCTAAGCATTACACAGTCATTCAAAAGTGTAAATGATGGCACAACGTAAATTCGTGGCGTCTAATATTTTATTTTACTCCATGGAATGTTCCTAGTGTCCAGTCTTCATAGTAACACTGATTTGAACGCTATTAAGACCAACATGCCCTCCCAGCTTTTGCGATATATAATGTCGCTGGGATCAGAGACAGTGATCGTTCATTTATATATCTCATTCCAACAAATCCAAACCTTCAAAAGGTTTTTACGCTCTTAAATAAGCTCTAAATAAAAGTATTTTAGATTCATATTGCTTTACTCTTGACTTTATTTACATATGTGACCTTGACGTAATCCGAAAATGATCAGATTACATTACTTTCATCTTGAGATAATTGGATTACGTTGCTGATTTTTTATGAAGTAATTTGTAACTGCGAAGGAAGACATTTTAAACGTAACCCTCCCAACCCTTATAGTAGGTAATAGCATAGCTTAGACATGTGTAAGTGGAGAAAAATGGTCGACATGGCAAACTCCCCATGTAAAACTACTTAAATATGCCTGAAATCCATCTCCTAAAATCCATCATCATCGTCTCCTCTTAGTCATGGGGAAAAACAGGTCGTCAGTGAACGTTTTTCGTCATAGTCTAAGATAACGGAATTAACACGGACAGATTATGTCGCTAAATGCAGTTCAGTTGCATTCAAATATAGCTAATAGAGACAACTATACATACAGCTGAGGCTAAAATAGAGCCCTGGATTCGATCAGAACTACTCTGATCCATGCTCTACTTCATCAGACACCTTGATGACCCAATCTAATCTAATGAGGATTTGATATTCGTACTGTATTATGTAAAGAAAATCACATTCTAAAAAAATGACATTCACAAACTAGATTTTTCTTGTCAGTTGTCAGTACTGCATGTGTTTGTCTTTTGCTGAAAATGAATGTCATGATGTCATATTTGGGGAAGAAAGAAAAAATGCATCCAAGGTCTCAAATGTGTGTCTAAGCACTTTCTATCATCGTGTTACAAATACGCCTACTGGTGCTGGGTAACGACAGCACGCACTGGCTATATAATCCAAACAGATTAAGGCGAGAAATCTGTGACAACCTAGAGAGAGAGAGAGAGAGAGAGAGAGAGAGAGAGAGAGAGAGAGAGAGAGAGAGAGAGAGAGATATGAATTTGCCATCAATGTTCCATTTAGCTCTGCTTTATACGAAATGATCAAATGTCATAGAATGTCAGGACTGGAAATGTCAGAGAGAGAGAAAGAAGGAGAGAGGGAAAGAGGGAAAGATGGAGGACGGCAGTCTCAGTAGTGTTTTCTCTCCTCTTCCCAATAATCTCATTTGCATGGACAACAAGACACACTTTTTTAAAGCCGTCATGTTACCTGGAGGAATGGTCCTTTCCCTATAACATCATTTATACCACCGTGCTGTTGAATTTTTTAATTCTGATTGCTCAGGTGGTGTTCATTCATTTTCTATATCTTCTATAACAGCAGCTCCGACACTAGCTATGTTTACATCTACGTGTTTTTATGCGTATTTAGGGGTATCGCATAAAACAATGCTGGATGGACCATTATTTCTTACAGGTTGTGCATAATATTAATAAACTCATTCGGATCAAACCCTGCATAAACACGAATGTCCTAGGAAGAGACAGCTTCGTGTGTGTTTGTCTAGATCTCTTAAACACCTGCCATCTGTTGGACGTGATGTGTGAATAGACACGCGGAGTGCCATCTGAAATGACTCGGCTCATTTATCAAACTTCTCCACTCGAACAACCATGAAGGGGCAACGAGGCACATTTTTCCCACATTTCAATTAATGCTAATTCACCTGTTTACATGAGACGTGCTTGTCATTGTGTGTTAAATGCTTGAAAGTGTTTCTTCATTAAAAAAAAAAATTCTAATAAAAGCATAATGATGTGCCATTATAAGTAAAGAAATTCGAGTCCTACTGTATTACTGTGATGCGAGATTTTCAGATAGCTTTTTTAAAAAAAAATTTGTAACTGATCATGATATAATTATCATTATTTCCTTGGGGTGAAATTGGGATTAATACCCAGTGTATGTGTGCCCCGCCTTGTGCCTGATGCTCCCTGGGATAGGAGTAAGCAGTAGAAGATGGATGGATGGATTGATGGATGGACCCAGTGTATGCTGATGCTAATTGAGAAATGTAAGTAAAAAGCTGAACTGAAAATTTATATAGTTTAAAAATATTTTCATGTTTAAGCAATTTCCATTCATCCATCCATCCATTTTCTATACCTCTTATCCTTCAGAGTCATGGGGAACCTGGAGCCAATCCCAGGGATCATCGGGCACAGGGTGGAGTGCCAGTCCATCACAGGGCACAATCACACACACATTTAAACACCCATTCATACACCATGGAGACTTTGGACATGCCAATCAGTCTACCATGCATGTCTTTGGAGGAACCGGGAGTAAACCCCTACAGCACGGGGAGAACATGCAAACTCCCCACACACACAGCTCCACGGAGAGAATCGATCCCCCGACCCTGGCAATGTGAGGCAACCGAACTAACCACTAATCCACCGTGCACCCTGTTTAAGCAATATTTTAAATGAAAATTTGTACTTAAATTAGGTAAAAATATGTAATAAAAAACTTAATTAAAAATCTGTTATATTGGCCCAACACCCTCTGAGGATATACCGTAGGTAATTAAGATTGTTCATGCACTGAGCTGTGTAAGTGCCTGATAAGCACTGATCCATGAACAGTGACTAATGTTCCACCGCATCGTTTTGGCCTGTGATCAGATTTTAAGAACGACTTTATTTCTGCTGGTATTGAGTTCGGAAAGACACTTGCTTTTTTTTCCCCAGGACATCAGATCCCTACCTATGAGAGAGAGAGAGAGAGAGAGAGAGAGAGAGAAAGGCTATCTCCTTTTCAATGTGAAGTGCTTTTAACATTAAGAGAATCGATACTAACTAGATGGGCAACATTCACCGCTGCCCATTACAGTTTCCATTAATGTATCATTGGCTACGCAATCAGATTAGGATCTTACCCAAACACCAGGCAGGCCTGAGACGAACCATATATAAATATATATATCAATCATTTGGACAGACATCCACAGGGAATGAGACAGAGTTGGCATTTTTCCAGACTCATTACCAAAACAAGCAACAATGCAGCAGCCACATCATTTTGTTTTAGGTCTGGACTAAGACAAAAAAAAAAAGGAGAAGCATGGACCAAAACTTTTAGTTCCAAGCTGAAAGATATGTACAGAAATCGATACTGAGGGTGGAAATGGAAATACTGACTCATCAAAGCCAAGTTTCGAAACTATATCCAGGAACTTAACTACATTTTCAAATGAACCTGAACTTCCCACTATATATATATATATATGTAGATAAATAGACAGATACATATATATAGATAGATAGACAGATAAATTCATTCGAGTAAAAGGTGAGAATCGTTTAAGGATACAATGACTCCATCTTCAGCCATAAGAACAAATATAATTCTGCCATTGAAAGACTGAAATTTCCATTAAAAGCACCTCTTTTCTCTCCCAAAGATAATACACAAATTTGACCGGATCAAAAGGTCCCAGAAGGCATCATAAATTCAAGCTCGGTGAAATTCGTGTGTGAATGTGTGTGCTACGATGGGGTCACCGAGGCGAGCTGCAGTCTTCTTTTTACTGCCAGGTAATTAAGTTAAACCTGCCCTATTCCAAGGTCTTCAATGCGATAGAGAACAATCTGCTGTCTGTGCACTAGTCTCCTGTCCTTCCGAGGTCACTCTGTATCCATTCTCTTGGAGCGCTGCCTACCCTACCCCGTGGTACATTTTCATCAAGTGCACTTCAGCCTGCACGGTACACAGTCCTTGTACAGAACGACTCTCTTCAGAAGCCATTGCAGTCGTTGTAACTTTGAGGATGTTTTTCCCCCAGTCGTCTACGCTTCAGAGATATTCCAGATGTCCAAACCTCTTCAACATGAGAAGCATGTTTAAAGTGCTTTTACGTCGTTATTCCAAGGGTCTAGATGACTAAACCTTCCCAGCATATCTTGTGTAAAATGTATCTAAAATGACAAGTTTACACAATAAAACTCCCTTCAAACGAACTTTTCATCAAAACTAGCCGCGATTATTAGCTAGCGTATGATCGCACTGTGAGCTAGCTTGCTAGCTAGCCTAGCAGGTTGGTGACCTCGGACAGTTTTTAAAAAAAATTGAAATACTCTTTTTATATAAATAACAGTGTCCTTACCAATAAGTAACGGATGTACAGATTTCATTAGTAGAATTAATGAACATTTGAGCATTAATGAACGATAGCTTTCCCCACCACGATATAATAACCTGTCCACTTCAATCTAAAAGTGCTGTCTAAGCCCCTGTGAAGAGAAGCTCTTTGCTGGTCCCGGCACTCATTTACCCTTTAACGAGAGCTTTTTACCCTCTTACCTTCAAGCACATTAACTTTTATGGGCGCTAATGACATAGCAGCAAAGGCTCTTGGATTAGTGCTCACCCATAAACCGTGACTACGACCATACATCTAACGGCACTGTTACGAGAACAATGGAGGAATTTCCTTCGTGTGTTTGGGATATTAGACACTCGTTATCGGCCGTTACGGTGCTCTTACTTGAATAAATGACTGGTGAGTACTAACCTATAAATATAATACTGGAAGCACTTCCTGTGTGCCTGCTAGATCGTGCCATTGTCTTTATGTGACTGTGTATTTCAGTAAAAAAAAACGAACGATAATTTGACACACCTGACTCCTTCTACTACATTTGGTCTGTATGATTTTAAGCCGTAAAAATGTCCCATCAAAATCCTGTCTTCCAGAACGGTCCTTGAAACGCAGATAAACCAATTTGTACCCACTCCACTTTCACTAACGAGCTCCAATTTATTTATTTTTTAATCTCAAGCTGTCTCAGCCATACTCAAAAAATATAGGAATAAAAATATATGAATTCATTGGCCAGTGTACGCGCCGTTCCAATATTTTATTCACTCGGGTGTAGTTTGTTAGACGGCCCACTGGGGGTCCAAGGGACAGGAAAGTACCGCCCCGAAGTAGGAAAGCGACAACTAAACATTATACAAGCATCACATACTGTATACTGTACATATAGACTGTAGAAGACACTCTTTCGTTCTTTCTTTCTTTCTTTCCATCCATCACTTCTTTCTTTTTCTTATTTCCATACATTCTTCCATCTTTCCTTCTTTCTTTCTTTTTTGCCAGCACTCTTTCTATCTTTAATTAAATTTTCTTAATTTAACTTTAATTTCTTTTTCTTTCTCTCTTTCTTTCTACCACTCTTTCAGTTTCTCTCTCTTTCTTTCTAGCCATCACTCTTTCTTTCTCTCTTCCTTGCCATCACTCTTTCTTTCTTTCTTTCTTTCTTTCTTTCTCTCTCTCTTTCTCTCTTTCTTTCTAGCCATCACTCTTTCTGTCTTTAATTTAATTTTCTTAATTTAACTTTAATTTCTTTTTCTTTCTATCTTTCTCTCTTTCTTTCTTTCCACCATTCTTTTTTTTTCTCTCTTTCTTTCTAGCATCACTCTCTTTCTCTTTCTTTCTTTCTTTCTTTCTTTCTTTCTCTCTTGCCATCACTGTTTCATTCTCTCTTTCTTTCTTTCTTGCAATCACCATTTCTTTCTTTCTTTCTTTCTTTCTTTCTTTCTTTCTTTCTTTCTTTCTTTCTTTCTTTCTTTCTTTCTTTCTTTCTTTCCTTCTTGCCATCACTCTTTCTTTCCTTCTTGCCATCCTTTCTTTTTCTTATTTCCATACATTCTTCTGTCCTTCCTTCTTTTTGCCATCACTCTTTCTTTCTTTCTTTCTTTCTTTCTTTCTTTCTTTCTTGCCATCACTCTTTCTTTCCTTCTTTCTTTCCTTCTTGCCATCCTTTCTTTTTCTTATTTCCATACATTCTTCTGTCCTTCCTTCTTTTGCCATCACTCTTTCTTTCTTTCTTTCCTTCTTTCTTGCCATCACTCTTTCTTTCCTTCTTTCTTTCCTTCTTGCCATCCTTTCTTTTTCTTATTTCCATACATTCTTCTGTACTTCCTTCTTTTTGCCATCACTCTTTCTTTCTTTCTTTCTTTCTTTCTTTCTTTCTTTCTTTCTTTCTTTCTTTCTTTCTTTCTTTCTTTCTTTCTTGCCATCACTCTTTCTTTCCTTCTTGCCATCCTTTCTTTTTCTTATTTCCATACATTCTTCTGTCCTTCCTTCTTTTTGCCATCACTCTTTCTTTCTTTCTTTCCTTCTTTCTTGCCATCACTCTTTCTTTCCTTCTTTCTTTCCTTCTTGCCATCCTTTCTTTTTCTTATTTCCATACATTCTTCTGTACTTCCTTCTTTTGCCATCACTCTTTCTTTCTTTCTTTCTTTCTTTCTTTCTTTCTTTCTTTCTTTCTTTTCTTTCTTTCTTTCTTTCTTTCTTTCTTTCTTTCTTGCCTGGTTTCCTCTTTTTTTTTTTTTTTTTTTTTTTTTTTTTTTTTTTTTTTTTTTTTTTTTTTTTTTTTTTTTTTTTTTTTTTTTTTTTTTTTTTTTTTTTTTTTTTTTTTTTTTTTTTTTTTTTTTTTTTTTTTTTTTTTTTTTTTTTTTTTTTTTTTTTTTTTTTTTTTTTTTTTTTTTTTTTTTTTTTTTTTTTTTTTTTTTTTTTTTTTTTTTTTTTTTTTTTTTTTTTTTTTTTTTTTTTTTTTTTTTTTTTTTTTTTTTTTTTTTTTTTTTTTTTTTTTTTTTTTTTTTTTTTTTTTTTTTTTTTTTTTTTTTTAAACTAAACATAATCTGGTGGTTGCCGAGTGTCGTTCCAATATTTTATTCACTCGAGTGAAGTTTGTTAGACGGCCCACTGGGGGTCCAAGGGACAGAAGGAACTTCCGTGTTAGACTTCAGGAACGTGACCTATCCTGAAAAAAAACAAAAAAAATATTCCGTACTCAAGTAAAAGGGAAATTGCTCATCTAAGTAAGTCTTCATACGGAACGCAAACGAATTGCCACGAAATGCAAAACTTTTTTTTTTTTTCATGCTGCAAGTTTTTTCATGCTGCAAGTTATCACTTATGCAACGTAGGTGCTGCGCAATTTTGACTCCTGCGGGGAAAATCGTCGAACGTGCGCATGGACGCTGCAGAAACGACGGCCAGGAGAAAACATCTGCTTTCATAATCAGTTGTATGTTAATTTATGTTAATCTGAATCTCCTGGAAGTAGCTGTCATATTAGTGTGTGGTGCATGTGCTGGAACGAATTTGATATTTTCCAAAAACATCTGCATGTCGCCTAATTACCATGTTTTTCACAGTTGTCGAATCAGTCGTGATTCGCTGCCATGGTACTAACACCGCCCTCCCCCCTCCCCCACGCCCACACGCCCCCACCGCCCGAAAAAAAAAGACAAACTTAATCAAGAACAGCAAGTGGAAACAGGCTACGATTCCCCCTCACCCCCTTTCTCTCTCTCTCTCTCTCTCTCACACACACACACACACACACACCCTGAGGAATTCAGAACTTTCTGCATGTCAGTTTTCAACATAG